GTCTTTTAATTCCTTCGTCCTTGACAGTGTTGTTTGTCACAAGTTTGTGACAAATCACTTTATTTCCTTCTTGATGTGTCTGGTCATCTGACATAGTTATTATCTTCTCTCTACACACTCGATGATTTACTTGTCCGGGCTGATTCATCTCTGTCAATGCACTCGGACGTGAGATCCCAAATCCCTGACACACGATTTTAAGTTAAAACAGACGGTTTACAGGGTCTGATGGGCGAATATTTGGCCGAGGGACGGTGTGAAATAAGAGCCCAAGGGTCATAATAGTCGTCCATATGTGTGTGTGTATGTGTGTGTGTGTGATCAATACAACTCTTGTTTGCCACGTGAGTCTTTTCACCACATCCCCCGTCTGGCCGCGTGTGTCTCCTCGTGTCGTGTGAACAGCGTCCTGGAGCCCTGGTTGGGAGTTGTTCTTTGCATAATAAAACAGCTGAGGGCCAGGCCAGACCACGTGTGCCCCCACCAGCTATTCTAGTCTTTTAGTCATATTGAGGAGTCATTCGGTTGGGGAAGTAAAAAGTAAGGGTTTTTGGCGCGAGTCACCGTTAGATGCATGGGTGGTGTGTGTGTTTGCTTGTAGTGATGGCTGTATACATTCTTGTTGTATGGGGGTGTATGGGTTCTTTCTATGTACAGACTGTTGAGTAGATTCTGTATACGACTTCACGGTGGTGTATATAGATGCTGTACAGTTGGTTACGTGATGAATGAAGATGGTGGCCATGATAGTGACAGGTAGGGGCCTTTTTCTTCCAAAATTAGCTCCTCCCTCTCAACACTATATTCTGCACATGGAGTCAAAATTGCGGCAGAAGTTTATCCAGAATTCTCTATCTTCGGTTTAGCTTGTATGGACATATATAATGGGGATAACATTTCACATAACAGTTGTAATTTAAGATTCGTCAAGTTACTGAATACAAGAACTTGACTTAGTAATCTGTAATGTTGGTTTTTTTTAGTAATGCGATTTCCAAAAAAGCCAAATAATATGTTTTTATAACCTTACGGTCATCTCGAGGGGTCCATGTTATACAGTCTTAGTCTACAGGGACAGACTCTTAGAACTAGTGACTGGACTAAAAAAATAACTGACAACAACTTTCAACTATAACCAAACTTGTGCAAAGAGATTTAGGAATATATTTTACCATTTAAAACAGAAGTCTAGCGAGTCTTACTGTTCAATCAACAATACTCATCACTCACATGCCTTTCTTTAGTCATAACATCATATAACAATATCAATCCAGCTTCCAGTCCTAACCTCTCGTTTGTAGGTGTGAACGGGATCATTTTGGCCGTATGTTAGGCAATCACAAACTCTTATATTTCGTGTATCTGATTTACCCCGGGAGAATCTATAAAGCAAGGGTAGATGTCTTATTATTTGGTGGTAATAGATCTACATAATACTTTCTTCCTCTTCTTGACTCTTCATCACATGGTTGGATAAGGTGCAGGTGGTCACTGTACTGACGAGTCCCTTCAAACCAGACTTGTGTTTCTTCTTCTCCTTTACTTTCGTTTAGATTCATTCCCTCGTTTTGGCTTGGAAACTTGGAACTGTAAAGAGGACTAGTTTATCTTGTCCAATTTGCTTGTGTGTGTTAATAGTTACTGCCTTGATACTAAATAAAATACATAGATTAAATCTTGGATAATAATCAGATAATGTTCCTTAGGATAGATGTTGTTAGTTTGACCTAAAATTGTGAATATGGTGTTACCACCCTCGCCTCTTCCTTCCTCCCTGTGTCACAAGCACCCCGACTACCCTCGTACTCCCTTCCCCCTGTATCACAAGCGCTCCTACCCTCACCCCTTCCCTCCCTTCCCTAAAAGAAACATAATGCCTCATTAATACTTATTCAATTATAGTCTTTGCTATTTTTCGTTCCATTATAATAAAGTTTAGTTCACTAATTCTTATTCAACGAAGAAAATGTTGCATCGGCATTTCTTATTAATAACTGGACCCAAATTTTCACTTTATCATCGCTGTTCAAGATTAACACACGATGGTCGTAGACTTCAGATAACAGCTTCAGTTATTGTTTTACTTTTTATGTTCATGCAGGTGATAATTTACTTTACTTTATCCTCTTCACCACTGATCGGCTCGTTAGCTGCTTGGGCGATCGGTCACGTCTCTGTCACGCACTATTGGCAAGTACTGGGTATGCACTGGCTCCTGAATGTACCTGAACCTGCTCCAGTGTTGGTCAAGTCTGGTCTTGAAAGAGCTCACACTCGGTGCCGTCACAACACTTTCTGGTAGACTTCATTTAGTTTACAACTCTCACTCCGAAAACGTTACCCCCCACAGTTTTCTGGGCTTGCGGCTTCTTCAACTCGACTGAGTAGTGCCCTTTAACATGTTTATACACCTCAATTAGGTCACCCCTTGCCCGTCTGTAGTAAACGCTGACAAGTTCAGGCGCTCCAATCTCTCAGGGTAGCTGAGGTGCCGAAGTGCAGGCACCAGTCTGGTGGCTCTACTTTGGACATTTTCAACCAACTGACAGTCCCTAGCATATCTCGGGGACCAGACGGGGTGACAGTACTCCAGATGGGGAAGCACTTCACTCTTGAAGATCGTTACGAGGGACGGACCGTCTAGATATCTGAACGACCTTCTTATAAGACCCAATAATTTAGTTGCCTGATTTACCTTCTTCTCGCAATGGCCCGAGAACTTCAGCTCATTGTCAACATACACACCTAAGTCCTTTTCACATTGTCTCAATTAATGCAGTTTCTTCATCCCGTTGGGACATATGATACGCCTCCTTACTGTTGGTACGTCCCAGGTGCAGCCTCTTACACTTCGTGACATTGAGTCTTAGCAGCCATTTTGAATCACTTTATTTTATCCTGTGCAACGTTAGAGAGTCAAGAGAGTAAAGAAGCGTTCAGTAGCCCCCTGCCAGTCTTTTTAAGTTTTACCTACAATCCATAGAACTCGAGCATTATTGAAGAGTAATAGAAAACAATCAATCACTCCTTAAGGAGTATAATTGTATTATTATTTTTGTTTTTTGACAAACAATACTTTCTGGGTTTCAGTGCCACGTTAAATATGTATAGTTTCTCAGGCACGCCTTCACGGTAACGTCTGTATACTGTACTGTACTAGGCGGTAGGCTAGATTCATTTAGCTGAAATGTGACAGAGGGTCCCACCGTGACGTCCCATAAGCCAGACAGCCTACTAGGAGCACTGAAAATACAATTAATTAATGTAGCTGATACTGCTCTCTACCGCCTCGCACTATCCCTACTGTAAGTCGAGGTACTATTCTGCAGGTATAGGGGGCCAGCTGCGGAACTTGAACTGGCAATCACTGGAGGAAGGAGCGAGTGTTATAGGAACGTGTTCACTAAATTATAAACAATTTAGACACTCGGGTATGAACACAAACCTCACCAGCCAAGTGCTTCAGGAAAAGTTATAGCCCTAAAAGGATTCACTGTTGTCAATATATTATGTCAACAGGTAGAGACTGAGAACTAAGGAGCTGATTGAATTATACTTTGTTAAAGAAAAATATATATTGACCCAGAGATACAGTTTAGACGTCAATGATGTACAGTTTCATGAGTATATAATAACTTAAGTGATTGAAATAACAGACCGAGATTATTATACAATATATTTTTTGTAGTCACATGACATTTCGTTTATATATGTAGTAATGGTGAAATACAAAATATAGTGGTATTACCTTATGGTTATCTTCTTACGTGTTATAATAAGTCAGAATAACGATGAATTTGAGGACTAAAGATGGGAATGATGTCTGACTAGAGTTTGCCTGTAATTTGAATATTATTATGGTGGTTATGAGCAGATGAGTTATGAGCGAGTCTCCCCCCACCATGAACACATGTAAAGAAAACGTTATTATCAAACAGCCCGAGGATGGTACTCTTAACTAAATCCCAAATATCTATCGTTGTGATCAGTGACATTTTACTATTTTAAAATTTGTACTATAAGTATTTTAATGAATTTTAATTGTCATTCCCTAATATTTGAAATAATAACTCGATAAAATCCCTAATATTTTCACACACTATTTGGGGTTAAGGTTGGTGTCGGGAGATACAACGTCACTCCCTAAGTTTCAAAATGCCATTCGTCTACTGTACATCTGTTTTTCTCTCTAGTTACAAACTCTATGATTTTAGCCTTTTTTTGTAATGGCTTTCTATTTACTATTAGTTTGTTAAGACCACACAATCCACGTCTTAACTGTTTTGTTGTTGTAACTGTCCAGTGGTTTTACACAGACACACACACACATGCCCAATCTCTCTCTCTCTCTCATCAACAGTACATATAACCTAACCAAAATACCTGCCTCTACTCTACAACTATTCTTTTTACTTCTCTATTCTTCCAACACTCGCCCCTGGTTCTTATAGTCCAGGTGTACAGTATAGAGACCTTGGAAGGGGATTTGGAAACCTTTATAAACGACTGTATCTTGGTGTTGGGTAGTCATTCTTCCCTCTCTTGACGTATCTGTATGAACGTTGTACTAAAGAGCTTTGGTTTTGTTCTGTGTGTGTGTGTGTGTGTGTGTGTGTGTTTTGTATAAGGCACTACAGATCACAGTGGCTATTTATCGACCAGATTGAGACAAATAATAAAGCATTATAAACAATAGCTACACACATACTAGCTACATAAACAATAGCAACATAATCAATAGATACATACCGGAATATTTCTTTGTGTTTTATTATCACAGAAACTCTTCACATATTTTCACTATGGAGATTTTTTTTTCTTGTTCTTTATTGTCGTATTAAGGGCCAATTGCAAGAACAGTCGTTTACGATGACCTTCTTGCCCTGATCTTGTTTCAGTTATACCACCCTTTTGAAGCTCTGGAGAGATCTCGAAGTTTCGATATTTTGAGTACAGCACTAGCTAATAATTCCCACCAGGAAACTTGTTTCGAGACCCCTCCAAAGTTTCGAAAAGTGCAGAATTCCATGTGTTAAAGGCGATATTGCTGAAAAAGACCAGGGCAAGGAGGTCATCGTAAATGGCGTCGTACACCCCATAACCGTTCTTGCAATTGGCCCTTAGAGTTACGATGGTCCGCTGCTGTTTGGACCAAGACAGTGTGGCTTCCTCGTGGACCTGATAACACACACAGTAACTCCAACCAAGACTGGGAAACAACCACGGTACCGTACACACTGTTCCTCGCTGTATGACTACCCAATATTCGTGTTACAAGCATATCAAAATAACCACTATAAATATTGTTCTAATCTTGTCATTCAGAAGTCGAAACAAGGACTAGTGATCCCGTTGGGGTTGAGTTTGTCCCAGATGTGGTACATTCTCTCCGGGGTGATCCTGTGACCCGTAAACACCTGCAAAAACGTAATATTAAGTTAGTCAATAACTGTAAGGATTCATTTAAGATAATATACTAATGTCACAGAGGCTGACAACAAGGAGCCCAGTTTCATGAATGAACAAATGAATAGGGAACATGTTAGAGGTGTAGCAGTGTACAGTAGATGTGGAGAAAATGTATGACAATAAGTGTGTTCCCTTGTTTAGTGAAAATGATGATAAAATATAAATAATAATATGTAAGAGTTACTGAACTTGGCTTTAAAGATCCCATCCTATGATTTAAAATCACGAATAAAATTACCAGAAATTAATAACAAAGGTAATCAGAGTGAGTGTAGCCACTTTTGCCATCGTAAACATGAGCAGCAAGCGGCTCAACTCACCTGCACAAGATCACAGTCATCATTGACCATCTCGCCACAGGTGAAGCGATTGTCGTGAACAGGAGGGTGAACACCGATACTACGCGCCAGGTGGGCCGTGACGTACACGTCCTCCACGGGAATGATGCGAGTGTTGAGTGAGGCGCTGTACAGATCCTTCACGATGTCTCCAGACATAATGTAACCTGTGGGAAAAAGGTATTTGTTGATTAATTGCGGAAGATTCAATGACGAAGGAACATCGTCGAAACGATCAGTAATATAAAAAAAAACACAACTTTAAACATTAAATTTTGTTAAAACTTTTTTTAAATGTTTCCACACAGTTTGCTCTTCCATGTTCCCCCGTCAGTGTCTTACCACTGATCTTACTTTCCGAATGAATCTGAGTCAAAGGTCTGCTGCACGTTTAAATCCCTCATGACATTTTCATTCTTGAATTACAACTGTCTGAAATATCAGAATAACTAACTACAATCGCAGAACACCATCTTGAACATATTTTAGGGGGGTTTAGGGGGGGGGGGCACACAGTTGTAAAATGGTGCATAACTTTACAACTTGGGGAAGTGAAGGCGGTCGAGTGCAGTGGCGGCCGTGCTGTTGTATCCACACTGCCCCGAACATACAGTCATGACTATGGGACCCACTCTCACAGTATTGAGGTTCATAATACTCTTCACTCGCGAGGCTGGTGCTTCAGACGGACTAAGGGGAACTTATAGTTTTGGGTTATGTCACCTTTCATCCACAAGCTGTACGGTACATGTTATGTTGTTACAGTGATCTAATATATAACACACACACAACAGGACGTACCAGCACCAGCGACAAAGGGCGGGTGTGCAGGGGGCAGAGGGAGGCCTGGGACAGCGTTCACTGGTAGGAAGGCCTTCTTTTGTTTGATGCAGCCTGTAAAACATATATTAAAATAGTACACAGAATATAAAGATGCCTTAACTACTTGTGTACGGAAACTCCTCTGTGCTGAATAAAGTCGTCTGTTGTGACTCGTGAACCAAATATTTCAAGATATTCTCACAATTAAATATTTATCGCCAGTAAGTTTTGATTGGATACAGAGAGAACAACCGGCTGAGTCCATTATAAAAACCGGAGCCAAATTATTTTAATAGTAGTGGAGGTTGTGGAACGTCTCTGTTGGGTAGTGAAGGGAAGCGGACGTTGTAGGTGTGTGTAGTGTAGTTATTTACTCTCTCTCTCTCTCTCTCTCTCTCTTAGCACTTTTCTCAGTATTTGAAACACAATTCCAATCCTCCTAATTTGTTCATAATCTTTATATATTATGAGACGATCAGTGTAGAAACGCGAAATAACACAAAGCCACATTCATCTTATTAACAAAACTCTCTTCTTATCTTCCTGCATTGACTAGCCTGACTGCGTGTGTGTGTTCTTAGTTCAGGTTTACACTTTATCTAACAAGTAAAAGTCTTCTGGTTCGAGACCCCCACACACACACACACAAAATGTTTACGTAAGCATGAAACTCTGGAGATCTTGTTTTTATTCTCAAGAAAAAAAACTCACTTCAGCTGTGTTGCTTATTGATGAACAGTTAGGGAGAAGTAACACGATATATTCAAGTTTTACTGGGCATTCGTTCGACTATTGTCCAGTTAGGAGCACCGAATATATTACCATTTAATGTCTCAGGAAGACATGACTCTCAGGAAGACATGTCTCTCAGGAAGACATGACTCAGGAAGACATGACTCTCAGGAAGACATGACTCTCAGGGAGACATGACTCAGGAAGACATGACTCTTGAGACACAGTCACTACACTGGTCTGTGTGTAATGAGTGATCGACACCTGTAGACTTATGGTGTCCAGGTAGCTTCCTGCAGGTATGTATAGTGTCTCTTATAATTAATAGTCTGGCGGCATCCTATTACCTGCATTAACCTGGTACTCTTTATGAAGTATAGTGAACTGTTTGTCCTTAGTGATATGGTGAACTGTTGGTCCTTAGTGGTATGGTGAACTGTTTGTCTTTAGTGGTATGGTGAACTGTTTGTCCTTAGTGGTATGGTGAACTGTTGGTCCTTAGTGGTATGGTGAACTGTTTGTCCTTAGTGATATGGTGAACTGTTGGTCTTTAGTAGTGTAGTGAACTGTTTGTCTTTAGTGGTATGGTGAACTGTTTGCCCTTAGTGGTATGGTGAACTGTTTGTCCTTAGTGGTATGGTGAACTGTTGGTCCTTAGTGGTATGGTGAACTGTTTGTCCTTAGTGATATGGTGAACTGTTGGTCTTTAGTAGTGTAGTGAACTGTTTGTCCTTAGTGGTATGGTGAACTGTTCGTCCTTAGTGGTATGGTGAACTGTTCGTCCTTAGAAGTAAGCGTATCTTTACCTGTGTGTCAGGATGATTAACTCACCTGTTATCCACCGTGACCTGCGGGACTCCTGTAGGTACGTTATGAGTGAGGGAATGTTCACGTACATGTCATCGTCGGTTTTCATGACATAATGGGCTTGTTGGCAGTAAGTGGAGGCCCACTTGAGGCCCATTACTGACTTAAGGGTGAGGTTCATATAGGAGTCGACGAAGTCCTCCTGCAGGATGTCGCCATAGGTCCTCGACTCCTCCACCACCTGGTAAAGTATCATCTAGTTGGTGAACATAACCCAATCAGCTATTTTCCACCTGTATATTTAAGATAACAGTAACGGGCCTCATGAAGATTAACACCCCGCTTGTTTCAACTGATGATTAAATACCCTGATACTAAATAAGGGAGTTAGGTTAGATTAGGTTAATTAGGTTAGACTTGCTTATGTTACGTTTGGTTAAGTTAATATTAAGGTGTTTAATCACCAGGTGAAACAAACGGGGGTTACCAATCTTCATAGGCCCCAAAAATAGATTAGTAGGCACACACACACACAGAGAGAACATGTTATTAACGCCTCACCTGTGTCTGCTGGCGTGAGTCGTGTGGATTGGCCAGCAGGAAGACGAGCTTGGCGTGTGAGGCAGTGAGGGGTGCCGAGCCTCCCCACGTGTCTCTAATAGCTCGACGACGATGGAAGTTGGCCACCGCGGAGCTGACCAACACCAGCAACCAAACCTGCAACACACACTGATATAATACTCCTCTGTGTATGTTAATGAGTGAGTGCGTGTGTGTTTGTGTTAGAGTGTGTGTGTGTGTGTGTGTGCGTGTGCGTGTGCGTGTGCTGAGATAAAATTAGCTTAAAATATTACAAATTCATCTGAATAATCAATATAACTCATCTCCTTGAAACACAATCTGATAACTAATTTATTTCCAGTTTTAGAATATCAACATTTCTCCCTCAACATCATCGTCGCTTTTAAGAAATCACACTGGCAAAAATAACTGTCTGGAACTTAGCAGTGAAGAAAGTTGTATGAGTGACGGTAAACACGTGTCATTTAATGGAAAGTTTAACTAAAAGTCGGAACATCACAGTCACTAGGTATGTGGTTGACTACTGTCGTGGGAGACTCTAGCTTTCACCACACGTCCTGATGGCGTGACGTGTTGGACTGAGTCGTTGGTAACCTGTGATTTGTATACAAAGAATTTAACAGCAGCCTCATGTTCCCCTTCTTTTCATTTGACTAAATTTTATGATTTGTACTCGCACCTATATTTATTTTATTTGTTATGGTGCACTATAACTCGTAGAGGTATTACAGAGCAAAGAATATTGGTGTTCGTAGAAATATGTAGTCGTCTAGTGGTTCCAGCTTAGCTTATCACCCCCCCCCCCCCTCCAGTTTATGAACCACTGGTCTACACGAAGCAGAACTGTCTCATCTGGAATTATATTATTAAAGTAGAGTTGAGATGAACTTTATGTAAAGAATTTTTTTGGAGAGATCTCATTAAAGGTGTGTGTGTGGGACCTGGTCCTCACCTCGTCCAGGCCTCCAGAGGCTGTACACTTAATGGTTCGGGATCATTTGTCATAATCTTGTTGACGCTCGTCTATTTTGTTGCTGCTTGTTTGCTTTCCTCTTGCCGCCTGCATACTGTAAGTAGTCATCACGCGGTATTTAGCGTGATGAAGGGAGTCGTTAGCAGCAACATACACTTTTCAGTCTCCGTTAGATTTTGTTTGTAGTTTATGAAGATACAAGAGACAGCAGGTACACTCACCGTGCTCTCACCGCTGCACACGTTGGCATTATTAATCATCATGTGGAAGTTATGAGGATTAGCGGGCAGGTCTTTGGTCCTTCCTCTTCTTTTGGTTCCTTTAATGCTGCGGGCCCCGAGAGAGGGCTCCTCGCCGGCCCCCTGGTTCCCGAGCTGAGGGTCCGCTGTCTGCTGCTGGGAATCCTGCTCTGAGTCCCTGACTGACACATACAGCAGAAGCACTAGACTCAGCAGGAGCAAGTAAGCTGCCAACGTAGGAAGTCTTGGCTTGCGGGGCATCCTGATGACTCCTCTCCACCTGCTACTGCTGTAACACAAGAGACAAATATTTGTGGTTTTATCATTCTATAACTGCCCGAGACTCAGTACCCCTAAGATGGTGTTGTACAGTTGTTAAGACCACAGACAGGAAGCTGACAATATTCCGATAATTACTAAGAAGAAGAAGAAGATGAACTAATACAAACATGTCAGTGTATAGTGCCAGAGTGATCATGGAGTTTACCCTAATGCTCTTTTTTCCCCGCAGTGTTCTCCTGTTGTTCTTGTCTTCATGATTTACCAGTGACTGACAGGTAGTCCCGGTACCCAGAGGTAGAAATTGTTGACGTAAATGTACCATTGTATATTACTGTACAGGTGCTGATATATTTACTTCTCTTACTTGTTTGGGTTATTTTTTTTTCTTCAAACAACGATGTAAAGTGACTTAGAAGATCCGGGTGAAGTTAGTGGGGGGGGGGGTGAATAGAAGGAAATTGCGTTCAATCATACATAATGAATGGTAGGAATGTTGACTCCTCCAGCACTAAACCTCGAGAACCTGTCTCTCTCTCTCCCCCAAAATAATATAATCATAATTTATCTTTACTGACGTTGTTATGAGTATGATCTAATTATTTGGTATAATTGAGTGAATTTTATATCAGTGTTTTAGTCAAAGACATGTGCGTCACAGGTTACACACATGGGCGTCACAGGGTACACACATGAGCGTCACAGGTTACAGACATGGGCGTCACAGGGTACACACATGTGCGTCACAGGTTACAGACATGGTTGTCACAGGGTACACACATGAGCGTCACAGGTTACAGATATGGGCGTCACGGGGTACAGATATGGACGTCACGGGGTACAGATATGGACGTCACAGGGTACACAAATGAGCGTCACAGGGTACACAAATGGGCGTCACAGTGTACACAAATGAGCGTCACAGGGTACACACATGAGCGTCACAGGTTACAGATATGGGCGTGCAGGATACAGTACAAGTGATGGTGCAGTTACAGTACACGAGTAAGGCAGCAAGAGGTGTGAGAGTGGGCAGGAACAAGGCGCTCACTGTACATCACTCGGGTCTGTTGTGATATGTTAAAAGGGAAGAGGAGGGTGGTGGGGGGTCATCTTGAGAGCTTTATGGATAATGGTATGATGGTGTGTATGTGTGTATGCCTGTCTGTTTGTTTGTCTGTGAGCGTGTTTGTCTGTCTGTGACTGTGTTAGGGAAAGGTGTAGTTGTAAGTTCATGTTTTTTTGCAACACGTTTGCCACTTACAAAATAATTCACCCATCACCACATTACTTCTCACTCACACACACACACACACACACACACACACACACACACACACACACACACACACACACACACTCACACTACAAGCAAACCAGGATACTCTACTGTACCAACAAAGCAAAACCTTCATACACCACAGATGGCATGCAATTGCTTCATGCTCATGTGGTGATGCTCCTTGTATGACAATTAACATCATAACATTGCAATTTGGTGTTATAGAAAGTTTGCAATGTCTGTAGGAACAAATTATATTACATTGCAATTTTGTAGTCTTCTATCACTCACTAAAGTCACATAGTGCTGAACTAAATGACCACATCATCACCACCACACCACTAACCATGACCACACCCTCTTCAATAGTGGTGGTAGTGGGGTTCGTTGTAGTGATAGTGGTGGGGTTGTAGTAATGGTGGTGGTAGTAGTGGTAGGGGTGTGGGTTGTAGTAGTGGTGAGGGTTGTAGTAATGGTGGTGGTAGTAGTGGTAGGGGTGTGGGTTGTAGTAATAGTGGTGGTGGTAGGGATGTGGGTTGTAGTAGTGGTGAGGGTTGTAGTAATGGTGGTGGTAGTAGTGGTAGGGGTGTGGGTTGTAGTAGTGGTGAGGGTTAGTAATAATGGTGGTGGTAGTAGTGGTAGTAGGGTTGTGGGTTGTAGTAATAGTGGTGGTGGTAGGGATGTGGGTTGTAGTAGTGGTAGGGTTGTAGTAAGTAGTGGTGGTGGTGGTGATGTGGGTTGTAGTAATGGTGGTGGTAGTAGTGGTAGGGGTGTGGGTTGTAGTAGTAGTAGTGGTGAGGTTGTAAGTAATAGTGGTGGTGGTAGTAAGTGGTAGGGATGTGGGTTGTAATAGTATGGTGAGGGTTGTAGTAATGGTGGTGGTGGTGGTGGTGGTAGGGGTGTGGGTTGTAGTAGTGGTGATGGTTGTAGTAATGGTGGTGGTGGTGGTGGTGGTAGTGGGGTTCGTTGTAGTGATAGTGGTGGGGTTGTAGTAATGGTGGTGGTGGTAGTGGTAGTAGGGGTGTGGGTTGTAGTAGTGGTGAGGGTTGTAGTAATGGTGGTGGTAGTAGTGGTAGGGGTGTGGGTTGTAGTAGTAGTAGTGGTGAGGGTTGTAGTAATAGTGGTGGTGGTAGTAGTGGTACGGGTGGTAGTGGTGGTTGTAGTACTAGTGGTGGTGGTAGTAGTGGTACAGGTGGTAGTGGTGGTTGTTGTAGTTGTAGTAGTCGTGGTGGTGGTGATGGTTGTGGTAGTGGCAAGAGAATGGAAAGCGAAAGTGGGTGCCGCTGGTCACTCGGGAGTTTCCACACGCCGCACATTAGGTAATAGTTTGACTAGTTTACTTAACGTTCCTTTATATGTCCCAGCCTCTTACTCCTTTACCCTCAGATGTTGAAGGGACTCATGTAAGTAAACAAGGATACACACACACACGCATATACTGAGTGTGTACTAGTAGGTGTGTGAGGGTCAACTGGTGGCGGCAGGCGCGGCTTTTTACGGTACCGAGAGTAAGGTGGGCTATACCTGTTCTCCTCTCACTTATTGGCTTGCTTTACACCTGGTTATCACTTACTTATTCTATTCTCTTCCTTACACATTCACGTATTCTCTCTCTCTCTCTCTCTCTCTATCTCTCTCTCTCTCTCTCTCTCTCAGGAACCTAACGCAATACTGTGCCTTCTTTCGTTTTTTTACTCTTACATTTATGTTTGCACGCAAGCACACACACACACACACTTGTAGTAGTGGTTGCATAATACAGCAGTTTGTGGTGGTGGGGGACACAAAACTAAGAGTTAGGTGAGACGACTGAGTGTAGGGCGGGGCGCTGACCTCCCCACCAGCTGAGTTTAGACGCGGAGCTGATGGTGGAGACTGAACAACTTTTTAAGACTTTTCATTAAAATTTCTGAATAAATGTTATATAATACTGGAAACAGCCCACAGCTATGTCCGACTAACCTAACCCAACGAAGAGCTTAAACACGTCAGTCAAGATTATATTACGATGCTAATATATGCACTTTAATGTTTTCTTCCAACACTTCCGTAAGAGTTATGTTTCCTCCTATTGCATGGTTTTACAAAATCCTTAAAGCAGATTAAAAACAAAATTAATCTAAAACCTTTAACTTAGAATTATCAAACCAAACACACCGTCGGTACATCTCCGACCCTTTTCACCATTAATAAATTTTTGTTTGGTCTGGTGACTCTCGTTGTGTAATTTAGTTTTTATTCAATATTCAGAAACGAGTCACAGCTTACCAACACGACTCGATGACCAGAATAGTGCCACTTAACCATGACCTCATCTGTCAGTATAACAACAGTCCTCACTCCCGCTGGACTGGGAGCTGGCAGTGCAGTATACGTACGCATCTGTGACTCTAGGTTCATCGTTGCTTCGTTGTCGGCTCCAGGGAGGGAGGCTGGGTGATGAATGGTCTCTCCTTGACACAACTTCATATTATCCTCAGTGACTCAATTTTACTAAATACGCTTCTATTTACTTCACCCCCCATATCTACAACCCATACACCATGACCCACACTTAACCAAGACCCACACTTATGCCTGATCCACACTCATCAGGGCCAGCACGGATCATTTGTGTTACCTGGGCTCTTGGAGTTTTAAATGTCACGAGCAGGTGAGCCAATCCATTGTTTTACCCTGTTTGGTGAAAGTTATATACCGGGTTAATGACTATTTTTCTCTCTCTCTCTCTCTCTCTCTCTCTCTCTCTCTCTCTCATCATTATGGTTGCATCGTACTTGTTAACAAAACAAAATAACCTGCTTCTGGTATTTATTTATAAAGTCAACGATCTGTGACGGACCAAAGCATCAAGGTAACCAAAAAACGATGGAATTAAGTTCATGTAAAGCACAACACACTGCAGGGTCTTCACTGTCTTGATCACATGTTGAGCCTCAGTCGCGCGACACCTGTGAGGGAATTATATAATGGGGACGTAGATACCCGGCTATATTTTATAATTGTCATACATCGTCCTTATGTAATATAACTAATGCTGGTGTATATATTTATAATACTTACGTATTTACTGTTGTTTTGTTTTTTTACTTAATTATATACAAGAGGAAACACAATTGGTTTTAGGGCATAGTTATAATTATTATTATGTGTGTACTCACTTTATACAACAACATTTTCATTCTTCATTTTACCTCATAACCTCACCTCACCTCACCTCACCGCACCTCACCTCACGTCACCTCACCTCACCTCATATGGGGAATATTAGAGGCTGGTTACGACTTACTTTATTATTAGGACAAGACATGTTGTTTGTGTATTATAAACTTGCAGAGCTACAAATAGTGTGTGTGTGTGTGTGTGTGAGTGATTTTGCCGCTTACAGCGGCTACTTTATTGTGCACCCCACTCATCCTGTGAGCGGAAGCGCAAAAGGATTACAGAGTAGAGTTTACAACGGGTCATAATAATTAACCCCCGTTGTCAGGGATATTATGGCACTGAATGTTACACAGTATTTCAATTACATTATTTGTTTAGTTCTATCCATAAAGGGTAACTTATTCACAAGTGCGTGAGTACAGGCGTGTGAGGTAGTCTGTCTGGCCTCACGCTTTGTTATTCACATTTACGTGAGAAGTATTCAAGCACATTGCGTATTTGGTTCTGTACATGAGAACTGATACAATTACTAAGTGCAAAAAAAGTGGATACAATCTTAATAT